TGAACCATGGAAATGGGCAAATGCTCCAAATCACAGCTTGAGTTGCTATCTTATTGATTATCTAGATTTATCTACAATTTCTAGTGAAGGAGAAAATGTTAACAATGCAGATTAAATTACTAGGTGTGTTTTATCTGATGCCGTTACACTGTGGAAAGCTCAAAAATTGAAGCTGGAGGAGATATTCTTATAGTATTCAAAGCTGTTATCCAGTTCTGTCGGGCAAGTGGCATCTGTTGGCTGTCGTCAGGAGTAGAAGCCCGAGCCCCTGTGCCCACCGCATCTCGGTATCAGAGTCGCCAGGTAGAGCATGTGCAGTCGGGCACTGGCTGGAAGGAGGCTCTGCTCACACAGACAAGGGGCAGAGCAAGAGCAAGACCAGCGCCAGTGGTGGGCACTGGTCCCCGTGGCCAGTGGGTCCCTCCCCAGCCGAGGCAGGGCTGTGGGCCTGCAGGGACTGCTCTTGTGTGGCAGCAGGAGGGCCCGTCCCCTCCCTGCAGTAGTGGGGTTGGCCAGGTGCCCTGTGACGCATGCACTTACGCAGGACAAAGGAGGACTCGCTGAGTCCGAAACAGAAACAGCCTTCCCACACATGGCGACACGCCCGTGGGACCGCTTATCTTGTGTGAAGGAAGCGTGCCGAGCCCAGGTCTAATCACAGACGGCTGCGTGGGCTCAGCAGACTGAACGTGGCAGACCGCCTTTCCCTCCAAAGCCAGCAGAGAAATCGCTCATGCCATTGACAAGTAGTGAAGGCCCAACATAGGTCTTTTTTCATCTTCATCCTGCTCCTTAATATCAGATAATGTTTGTGTCTGGACGATACTGGTTAGCAGCCATGGGTTGGCTAGTACTGCAAGAATTTGGCAAAAATCAATGAAAAATACTCAGTGAGCTACCATTGCGTACGCACCATGATGGCTGTAATAAAACAATGGACAAAGACAAGTGTTGAGGATGTGGAGATGTTAGAACCCTATTACACCACTGGTGGGAAAACAGTCTGGCAGTTCCTGAAAGGTTTAAGGGTGGAGTTGCCATGTGACCCAGCGATTCCACTCTTAGGTCTCCACCCCAAGAGAATTAAAAACATACGTTCAACCAAAAATCTGTACATAAATGTTCATAGCAACATTATTTGTAGCAGCCCAACAGTGGAAACAGCCCAAAGGTTCTCAGCTGGTGAAGGATAGACAAATGTCTACACAATGGAATGTCCACACAATGGAATATCATTCAGCCATAAAAGGAAATTAATTACTATTACAGGCTGCAACACAGATGAATCTTGACAAATGCGAGGTAAAAGAAACCAGTCACAAAAGACCAAATAGTGCACAATTCCATTTACATGAAATGTCTGGAATAGGCAAATCTGGAGATAGATTAGTGGCTGCCAGGGTCTAGGGAGGAAGGAGGGAGGAGTGACTGTTAATGAGTTAGGGGTTTCTTGGGGGCGGTGGAAATGTTCTGGCATCAGTGGTAATGGTTACACAGTTCTGAACATACTAAAAACCACTGGATTATATACTTTTTAAAGGTTTTGTAGAAGCAGGGTCTCACTATGTTGCTCAGGCTGGTCTCGAACTCCTGGCCTCAAGCCATCCTCCCACCTCGGCCTCCCAAAGCACTGGGATTATAGGTGTGCACCAAAGCTCCCAGCCTGGATTATATACTTTAAAAAAGCTAATTTTATATTACATGACTATATCTCACTAAAGATGTTATTAAAAATTATTGAAAGGAGTTTGTGATGTTCAGTTGGCTAGATGGAATTTACAGGGAAGGGGCATCTTATGTTTTATTATCATTTTGTAAATTGTGTACTTACATCCTTGCATCAGTAAAAGTGATGCTAACAAACATACCCCCGGCTGCTGTTAAACGCTCCCCAGCACACCGCTGCCCAGGGGCGTCTTGACCAGGCCCCTCGCCACTGTCCCCTCGTCTGCTGTCTGTGCCTCGCCCCTCAGCTCCCGTGGCCACCCCACCTGGCCGGCAGAGAAGGCTCCTGCTCACAGCCCGAGCAGGCGCGGCCGAGACCTCTCATTCCTGTGGCCCTCAGGGCCTCAGCTCCATTACTGCTGTGTAAATGCTGGTTTAATTTATGGAATATTTCACTTTATGATACCTGTCACCAAATCTTTACCTCATTACCATCGAGCTTATTCTTTGCAGCGATTGGACGTTTTCTGTCAATCTTTTTTTCACCCAAATGCTGTAACATCTTTTACCTAATCTGTCAAGATCCTTTAACAATTTGAATTTTTTCTTTTTTTTTTGAAACAGCATCTCACTCTGTTGCCCAGGCTAGAGTGCCGTGGGGTCAGCCTAGCTCACAGCAACCTCAAACTCCTGGGCTCAAGCAATCCTCCTGCCTCAGCCTCCCAAGTAGCTGGGACTACAGCTGTAGGCCACCACGCCACGCTAATTTTTTCTATTTTTAGTAGAGACGGGATCTCGCTCTTGCTCTGGCTGGTCTTGAACTTCTGACCACAAGCAATCCTCCTGCCTCAGCCTCTGAGAGTGCTAGGATTACAGGCGTGAGCCACTGCACTTGGCCTTGAATCTTTTTAAATATACTTTTTTTTTTTTTTTTTTGGCATATTATGGGGGTACAGATTTTAAGGTTTCAATAAATGCCCATTTCCCCCTTAAATATACTTTTAAAGAAAGATTTTGTAAGTTTGAGGAAATTATATTTCTTCAACATTTTCTACTCATTTACTTATTCTAGACTTAGTTTTTTTGATGGTAAGCATTCTAGTGCTGAGCTGAACATACCACAGATTTTTAATAAAATGCCATAAGTACCCGTGTTGTCTAGAGCTGTGGTCCCCAACCCCTGGCTATGGACCTATCCCCCGCCCCTGCCAAGTCCGTGGAAAAATCATCTTCCATGAAACTGGTCCCTGGTGCCAAAAAGGCTGGGGACCGCTGGTCTAGAAGGTGGAACTATACTGTTATAATTCGGAAACGGTCTGTTGTTCTTAGGCGTACGGGAAGAGCTTTCTGTACGCATGGCTATTCCTGCATATGTTGTGGTGGAGCTGGCCCGCTCGGCGGCAGGCGTCATGGCAGAGCTCCCGTGAGGCCTGGGGTGACCTCCTTGGTCTCTGGACGACTCATGCTTGGTAGCTGCGCCAAGCTCTGTAGCCAGCTTCACCACCAAACCTCATGTTTGCCTTTTCATGTTCTAAATTCTTCCTATCTTTAGAATGCTTAGGGATTTAGAAGATTTAGGAAGAGCATAGCAGCCAAGATTCATTACAATGCTTTGAAAAGGAGAAAATGGAAATGTTGACAGATAGTTCTAGTTTATGTGTCGATTGATGGCAGCCATCAGAGTGAAACTAACAAGCCGGTTTTCCTAAATGATGACATGGTCTCCCTTCTCACGCTTGGTTCCCTTGGCGTGATTGTCATTGTTGAGTTCGGGGACCTCAGTAAGTGACAGGCAGACCCAGGCGGGTCGGGAGGCCAAAGACAAAGAGGCGAGCAGAGCTGACCGGTGGGCAAGTTTCTGCTGCACCTTCCTCCTCCCCGCAGCGACCTCTTGTGTCGGTGCGGCCTGTGACTCTGCTCCCTCAAGCAGCCAGTGGGTCATTGTCACACCAGCTTCACCTGGTTAGCTGTATTAGATTTATAAAATTATTAGCCATTATTTCTACTTTTTCAAATTAGATTTTCAGTCAGTAGCCAAGTAGACCAAAAAGCTGTTTGAAATTTTGCAAACGCTGCACCTCTTAGTTCCTTGGGAGTAACAGAATATAGTGGTGTTAGTGAAGTCCTGAAATATCCTGAATGCAGCACCTCCTAAATGCCAAAGAAATGTTTATTCTACTTGGCGTAGTATTTTTTGGATCTTTGTAAATTTTTTTTTTTTTTTTTTTTTTTGGACAGAGTCTCGCGTTTCTGTGCCCAGGCTAGAGTGGTGCTGTGACATCAGCCCTAGCTCACAGCACCTCAAACTCCTGGGCTCAAGCGATCCTCTGCCCAGCCTCCGAGTAGCTGGTACTACAGACATGCGCCACCATGCCCAGCTAATTTTTTTCTATATATATTGTGGCCAATTAATTTCTTTATTAGTAGAGACAGGGTCTCACTCTTGCTCAGCTGGTTTTGAACTCCTGACCTTGAGCAATCGCCCCCTCGGCTCCCAGAGTGCTAGGATTACAGGCGTGAGCCACCGAGCCTGGCTGATCTTTGTAAATTTTACCATTTTTGAGTTGATTTTATTGAGGTATAACTTACACACAATAAAATGAATACATCATTTGAAATGTACAGTTCAATGACTTTTTTTTTTCTTTTTTTTTTGAGACAGAATCTCGCTTTGTTCCCCAGGCTAGAGTGAGTGCCATGGCGTCAGCCTAGCTCACAGCAACCTCAAACTCCTGGGCTCAAGCAATCCTGCTGCCTCAGCCTCCCAAGTGCTGGACTACAGGCATGCGCCACCATGCCGGCTAATTTTCTATATATATTAGTTGGCCAATTAGTTTCTTTCTATTTATAGTAGAGACGGGGTCTCGCTCCTATACCGGCTGGTTTCAAACTCCTGTACTCGAGCAATCCGCCCGCCTCGGCCTCCTAGAGTGCTAGGATTACAGGCGAGAGCCAATGCACTTGGCCTTATAGTTCTTTTAAGTTGAAAATTCCCTGGGCACATTGAAGTCTTAAAGAGAGGAAACTAACAAGGAGCCTTAATACCTCTAGATTAAATTCAATTTTTGTTTATTTATTTAGCTGGAGTGCAGCCTCCCAAGTAGCTGGGACCACAGGCTTTTGCTGCCACATCCAGCTAATTTTTTATTTTTTAAGAGATGAGGTCTTGCTATATTGTCCAGGCTGGTCTCGAACTGATTTGAGTAATCCTTCCCCTTTGGCCTTCTGCAATGCTGGGATTACAGGTGTGTGCCACTGTGTTTGGCCCAGATTTTTAATTTTATAATAATAGAGATTTGTCTAGTTGTGTGTTAATCCCATATATTTTGTTAAAGGTCTCAAGATTCTGCCCTCCAAGAAAGTCTTGCTATGATTGGATAGGACCCCCAGATAAATATTCAAATCTTCGACCTGTTCACTTTTACATCCCTGAAAATGAATCACCCCTGGAACGAAAGCTTAGAAAATTGAGACAAGAAACACAAGAATGGAATCAACAGTTCTGGGCAAACCAGAATTTGACATTTAGTAAGGTAAGTTTAGGTTTTAGATGAGAGTGAGAAATAATACAGTTGGCCACTTGGGGGTGCTAGATCTTTAGTATTTGCTTTACCGCTGGTTACTGGGTAGTGTCTCAGCACTGCCGTGTGTGTGTGTGTGTGTGTGTGTGTGTGTGTGTGTGTGTGTGTGTGTGTACGTGTGTGTGTGTACGTGTGTGTACGTGTGTGTACAGGTCTAATTTTTTAAACCAACATGTAACTGTATGTAAGAAACACTGGTCATCCACAGAATCACAGATCTTGAGACTTTCAAGAAAGTGAGGTGAGTAGCAGAGCCAGAACTAAAGTGCGTTTTACATGCTTGTGTGTTTATGTTTATGAAAATATAAGTTTCTCTGATGTGCTGTTATTTTTCCTGAGAATTCACAATTCTTTTTTTTTTTTTTTTTTTTTGAGGCAGAGTCTCACTTTGTCGCCCAGGCTACAGTGAGTGCCGTGGCGTCAGCCTAGCTCACAGCAACCTCAAACTCCTGGGCTCAAGCAATCCTGCTGCCTCAGCCTCCCAAGTAGCTGGAACTACAGGCATGCGCCACCGTGCCCGGCTAATTTTTTCTATATATATTAGTTGGCCAATTAATTTCTTTCTTTTTATAGTAGAGACGGGGTCTCGCTCTTGCTCAGGCTGGTTTCAAACTCCTGACCTCGAGCTATCCACCCGCCTCAGCCTCAGAGAGTGCTAGGATTACAGGCATGAGCCACTGCACCCGGCCGAGAATTCACAATTCTTAATGGCATACTCATAAGTTAACTACATGAGAAAGAAGTATAAATATTCTAACCCAGAAGAAAAACATTTAAACTTTGTTTATCCATTTGGGTGGGCTGCCTCAAATGAAGCATATTTATCTTATTCTGAGGATTTATAAAGAAACAGTGCCTCCCAAAGTTTATTGAACATCTCGTTTTCAAATCTTGTTTCAAGCATGAGACTTTGAATCACATGCGGATGGTTTAAAACGGGCTTTGAGATGAGCCATTTCTCAGAAAAGCCATGGCCAGACTTCTGCGGAACATTTGGAGTTGTGCTCCAGCTGGAGAAAAGTGGAAAGACAAAGAAAGAGAATTTTGATAGTCTTGTCTTATCTTTTCTTTTTTTAGGAAAAAGAAGAATTTATTCACTCAAGACTAAAAGCTGAAGGCCTGGGACTGAGAACTGAGTCAGGTTAGTACACTTGTTCTTTTTTGCTAAGGTTGTTTTGGTTAGAGCAAGTACGTGAGAAGGTAACAAAAAGGGATGTTGAGTGAAGGAGAGAGTTCGGGGCAGCTGCAGCATGGACACATCCTGGCCCCTGGCAGGGCCTTGACAGACTCCTCTGAACCCTCCTCTTTTTGGGTTCTCCTGCTTTTCTCATTTGCCACAGGGGCTCCTCTTCCTTTGCGATCCATTGCCAAGCATTTTAGGGCTTCTGATAGATGACCAGCTATGACCTTTGACTTCTGCTCTGAGGTCCCTGGCCTCTGCAGCCTCTCCCTGTGCACACCAGCTCCTCTTCCTAATTGCAGGCCTCAGTTCATGGTCCTACTGGTCACATGAGCCAGAAACCAGAGTTACCCTGCAAGCTTCTCTTCCTTTCTTCATCTCTCCTCCAGGTTTATCAATACTTTTGCCACTCCCTGTCCTTGACACATTGTTTTAGTTCAGGCCCTTGTTAATTCTCTATGTAGTAACTTCCTAATTGGTTCCCTGGCCTCTAATCTTTAAGTCAGAGGGCAGCAAACCCCTAAAGGGCTGGGCAGTAAATAGTTTAGCCTTTATGGGCCATGCGGGGTCTGTGTTGCAACCACTCGACTCTGCTGTTGTGGTGTGAAAGCAGCCACAACAATAGAAAATACACACACAGTGGGCTTGAATGTGTTCCAGTAAAACTTTGTTTACAAAAACAGGTGGCACAGAGTATAAACATAAAACTGACCCGGTATATTATTAAAAAACAAACAAACAAAAAAAACAGGTGGCGGGCCAAATTTGGCCTTTAAGCTGTGGTTTCTTGTGCCTGCTTTAAATCCATTCTTTGCACTGTAGCCAGACTGTTCTACCCAAAATACAAATCTGACAGTTGCTGCTCAAATGAGGTTCTTAGACACCCACGCTGACCCTTGACTATAGAATGATGGCCTCACTCCTCCTCTGGATAGGAGGCCAGCCTGCCCGGCCTGGCCCTATCTGGCTCACCTGTTTCCCATCTTTCCCCCCAGGCCATGCACTTGCTGTGCAGGGGAACCACGCTGCATCCAGTCCCTTTACTCACTGTGCTGTCATTCTTTTAGGACAGAAATCTAGTGCTCCAAATGGCCTTTAATTATTTTCTGTCGGCATTGACGTCAGGCCTGAATAACATTTCGCACTGTTTGTTAAACAGATGTTTTCTGCTGTCAAAACATCATTTAGATGGAAAATCCAAAACCAATGACCCCAAAAGCCACGTCTGTCATTGGGCCACAGTGCCATGGCTGTCCCTGCTCCTGCTCAGCCTTGCCTGGATTGGTGTGGGACACAGGGCCGGGGAGCTCGAGGAGCCGACATTTGCTCTTTGGTAGAGGCGGGGTCTCGGAGGCAGGGACAGGTGCCGCGTCCTGACGGTAAGCAGAGAATGAAAGCTCGCAGTATCAGGCGCTATCCCGAGTCCTTTGCACATGTCATCTGCTGTGTTTCCCACGGTGACTGAGCGAAGTAGGTAGGAGCCAGGGCCTACGGAGGGCACGCTCCTGACCACACTTGCACAGCTCGGAAGCCGTGGGGCCTCGGGAGTCGGATCCCGAGGGCCTGTTGGACCACACCCTGCCACAGTGGCTCTCAGCTCATCCCATGTTGTCCTGGCCGCGTGTGTGTGTGTGTGTGTACACACATGTACTTGAAACGTGTGTCACATCCATAAGTTTGTCATCACTGTCAGGTAGGCTCATTCTACGGAGATGCATTGGAGACAAGCCGCTCTCTTAAATGGGAGAGATGTTTTGAGTCTTATTAATACCACAGAATGCTATTGAAGGCCTTGCTAGAGTACTGAAAGCCTGGCCGTAAGTCCAATCTTAAATGAATCTGGTAGTAAAATGAGATAGAATGCACTGAGGAGGAAGACGAACAGGGAGCTGGCTGCTCTGCGTTCTTCAGACGCACGCCAGGCTGCGGGGCGGCGAGGGGGCGCGGTCACAGGTGTGTCCCCCAGGGGCCAGGGCACACACCTCGCACGCAGATTCATTGCAGAGTCCCCAGAACCAAGAGAGAGGAGCTTGTTTAACAGATAATGCTGGAGAAACTAATTACATTTGGCCCAAAAGAATAAATTTCAATTTGTTCCCCCTACAATACAGATATATTCCAGTGAGTTATAAAGTTAATTATTAAAAATCACTTGTTGGCCGGGCGCGGTGGCTCACGCCTGTAATCCTAGCACTCTGGGAGGCCGAGGCGGGCGGATTGCTCGAGGTCAGGAGTTCGAAACCAGCCTGAGCAAAAGTGAGACCCCGTCTCTAAATAGAAAGAAATTAATTGGCCAACTAATATATATAGAAAAAAAAATTAGCCGGGCATGGTGGCACATGCCTGTAGTCCCAGCTACTCGGGAGGCTGAGGCAGCAGGATTGCTTGAGCCCAGGAGATTGAGGTTGCTGTGAGCTAGGCGGACGCCATGGCACTCACTCTAGCCTGGGCAACAGAGTGAGACTCTGTCTCAAAAAAAAAAAATCACTTGTTGGCCGGGCGAGGTGGCTCACGCCTGTAATCCTAGCACTCTGCGAGGCTGAGGCGGGAAGATCACTCAAGGTCAGAAGTTCGAAACCAGCCTGAGCAAGAGCAAGACCCCCGTCTCTACTAAAAATAGAAAGAAATTAATTGGTCAACTAAAAAAATACATAGAAAAAATTAGCCGGGCATGGTGGCGCATGCCTGTAGTCCCAGCTACTCGGGAGGCTGAGGCAGAAGGATTGCTTGAGCCCAGGAGTTCGAGGTTCCTGTGAGCTTGGCTGACGCCACGGCACTCTAGCCCGGGCAACAGAGTGAGACTCTGTCTCAAAAAAAAAAAAAAATCATTTGTGGATTAAAGAGTTAAATACTCCTAGTTGTAGGAAGTCTAATAGGATAAAACTTGACTCTTCATTACCTAGGGGGATGATAATTTCCTAAGAGAGAGCAAAGGTAGAGAGATTCAAGAACATAAATACTGAAAACATCTTGTATTGGTCAGGGTCCCTTTTGGTCTAGCTTTCTGGGCTCAAGTTTACTGAGCAGGTATTGAGGTGGCTCAGAACCCAGGGGCGGGTGGAGTCAGGCCCCAGGCCTGGCCTAATTCAGACACTGGGACCAGGGCATCCTACGACCTCTCCTCAGATTTAACCTTTTCTCCGGCTCACTGCTCCATCCTTCCCTTGCTATTTGTCCCTCCTAATTCGAGGAAGGAGCCAGCTGAGTTCAGCCTCTCCCCAGCTGGCTCCCACCCAAGTGGGAGGTGCCAGGGATCAGACAAGGCAGAGGTGGGGCTTGTGCCAGACAAGACGAGACTGTGGCTGCTGCCATGGAGACGGGAGGGGGGCAGGAGGGCTGGGCACACACGGGGGTCAGTGTCCAGGAAATACCAGATGGGCCAGTGCTTATGGCAAAGATGACAGGGGCAATCTGGACTTTAGGAAAAGATGCAACAAATTTGCAGAAGCAGTACACTTATAGACAAATAGGATAACTGCAAGAAGAAAAGATGCTCAAACTCTAAATTTTACAATGCAAAACGCATTAATAAAGCTACAAGGCCTCGTTTTATACATACGAAATGCATGGGGAAGATTTCAGTGTTGAGACTCAATGCTGGTGGGGTATAAAATTCCTAGCCTCTGTTCTAGAAGGATTTGGTTGCACGAGTTACACACTTGCCAAGTGGGAAAATGGTGACCACAGACTCTAAGAATTCATTATGGGAAAACGTGAGAAGAGTTAAGCAGTCTGTTCCTGGCAGCGTTATCTTTCATTGCCAAAGAATGGGAGCTATTTAAACATCCAGTAATAGCAGATTAGCTAAGGCTGTGGCGCTCCACCCCCGCCCTCGGTGCGCCTGGCCGCAACAGTCTGCGGCAATGTGGAAAAATAACGGATTTAATTTCAGGTGCAAAAGGCAGAATACCATGACTTCAGTTCTGCCTGCCTCCAAATTAAATCTTGTTTGTAGGACAGGCAGCATTCTCTCCTTTTATTTCTCTTATTCCTGAAGTGTTTATGCAGTGGAGAAAAGTATGCCATCAAGATGGCTTTACTTTAAGTCAGTTGGTATTTATGAAACACCCACTTGGATTTTGGTAAATGTGTAATGAGTTAGTGTTCTGCCTCTCTCTAGACTTAGTTGATGTTCAGTAACAGGCTGCAGTGTTGACAGGTGTGGAACATGCGCTTAGCAAACACTGTGATGCTGTATGCTTAGCCTTGGCCTGGGGCTTAAGGTGGCGCCCAGACCGGACACAGAACCCCGTGGCAGGGAGTCAGGTGCCAGTGAGCTCTGCCTGCCCTGTGGCTTCTCGTGGCTGCATGAACAGCAGCGATGACAGGTGAGCACTTCTGTGCCAGGCCCCGTCCCTCCTGCCACACAGACTCAAACCTGGACTCAAAGCAGGCTTGTGAGGGCGTGATGTGGTGATCATGTGCCAGAGATGAGGAAACGGAGACAGAGAGAAGTCACAGTTCCAGGGCCACACAGCCAGGGAGGGACGGGCTTGGCCCCGAGTGGATCAGCCCTACCTGCCAAGGCAAGAGAGGTGGGAGGGGAAGCTGACCCGAGGGTGCGCACACTCCCTGCCCTCCCAGCACTGGCCAGAAACCCTCTCGTCGCCCAAAAGAAGCTGCTGCTCCCAGGGCCACATTTGCTCCGCCTGCCCAGAGTGGAGGCTCGGGTCCTTGGCTCCATCATGTCTGGCCGGGTCCAGCCTGGCCTGCCCGCCTCAGCCACCCCTGTGCCTCTCCACACCCTCCATCTGCTCCACGCTGGGAGCTTTCACCCTGCGCTCCCTCCCTCCTCGGGTAGCTGGTTGCTCCCCTTTTGCTCCTCCTAGGGTGCCCTTACTGGTGCTCAGGTGGCAGGTGTGGTGCGAGGCACTGGGACCAGGTGGATGAGACAGAGCCACGGCCCCTCCTTCGTGCAGCCCATGTGCCAGCGTGGGGCCGAGTGTGACCAGCACACACTGGGGTTAATAACTATATGCTGTGCTTTCAGGGTGGGTCGACCCTGGAAGAAAAACAAGCAGGGACGTGGTGGGGAGAGTGGATGTCTGGCAGGAGGAGGTAGCTGGGGGAAGAATCTTCTAGAAAGAGGGAACAGCAACAAGGCTAGGTCAGAGGAACACATTTACTACGCCTTAAAAAGTACCAGATGTTGTTCTCGATGCCTATGTATTAAGCGATGCCTCAGACAGATACAGTAGGCTCCCCCCGTCCACGGGATATGTTCCAAGGCCCCCCGTGGGCACCTGAAACCAAGGCCGGTACTGAACCCTGTGCAGATACCATGTTTTTCCTACAGTCAGCCCTTGTGTCTGAGGGTTCTGCGTCTGCAGATTTAGCCAAGCACAGATCAAAAATATTCAAAACAAAAATAACAGTACAACAATAAATAACTATTCACATAGCATTTACATTGTACTATAAGTAATCTGGAGATAAGTTAAAGCACAAGGAAGGTGTGTGTATGTTATAAGCAAATGCTGCACCATTTTATATAAAGGGTTTGATCATCCCTGGATTTGGGTATCCGAGGGTGTCCTAGGACCAGTCCCCTGCGGATGCCAAGGGGCGCTGTGTGTCCATTTCTAGAATAAAGTTTAATTTATAAATTATGAGCAGTAACAGATTAACAAAATAATAAAATGGAACAATGACAATATGCGCTGGGGGCCATTATTAAGTGGAATGAGGGGACTCAGGGCCGCTGCTAGTGACCAGCGGGCGGGGAGTGCCTGCAGCGCAGACACGCGGGACCAAGGGCGATTCCCCTCTCGGGCAGGACGGAGCCAGAGGTTGGGAGATTTCATCATGCTGCTTACACGGCGTGCAATTTAAAACTTACTAATAGTTTATTTCTGGACTTTTCCATCTGATACTTCCGGACCTGGTTGACTGGGTGACTGAAGCCATGGAAAGGGGACCTGAGGATGAGGGAGGGCGACTGTCCTGCCATCATCCCCATCACACCGTTGAGTAAACAGAGGCACGGAAGCTACACTGAGTAGCCCCAAACTGTGCGGTGAACGGCAGGGCTGAGGTGGGAACACAGTGGGGTAGCGTGGTCGCTGCTCATTCAAGCAGTGCCCAGTCGTCGCAGGCCCCAGGCCCTGCCAGGTGCCGGAGACCTGACTGTTGTCCTCTGTCTGTTGACATGTCCCCTCTCCTGTGGAAACTGCCCTTGGGTGTCACCTTGCCAGCCCTGTCTCCATCCCCCTGCGCCCCGTGAGCTGCAGGCTCAGCACCAGCTGTGCCACCAGGTAGCATGTGCTTCACTGGCGGCGGCAGCGGCTGTGGGGGCAGGGGCCAAGCATGCGTGTGCTACAAGTGCAGGACCCCGGGCGCAGGGCCACGGCGCTGACCAGGGATCGCGGTTCCTGTCTGGGGCTTGGGGCTTGTGAGCCAGAGGGCTCTCCTGCCCCCACCCGCACCCTCCACCCCAGCCCCGGTCTCCTTCCCTCATCCCTGTGCCGTAGCTGGGTGGCATGAGCCTGGCCACCAGGCGGACTGCACTTCAGGCTACACCCGAGGTGGGCTGTGGTTCTTGTCCCGTGTGGCCTTGTTGGGCCTCGTGAGCAGGGGTGAGCCCTGCGGGTGGGCACCACACGGGCATGCGGAGGCAGGCCGTGCCAGCCGTCCCCACCAGCGCTTGACATGTCACCTGGCTCTGTGTGTGCCCACTGCTGGGATTACAGGCATGAGCCACCACGCCTGGCCTCCACTATGTTTTGTGGTTTTCAGTATATAAGTTGTTTGCTTTCTTGGTTATGTTTATTTCTAAGTATATTTTTGGTAGCTATTATAAATGGAACTGTTTTCTTTTTTTTTTTTTTTTTTTTTTTTTAGACAAGAGTCTCGCTTTGTTGTCCAGGCTAGAGTGAGTGCCGTGGCGTCAGCCTAGCTCACAGCAACCTCAAACTCCTGGGTTCGAGCGATCCTTCTGCCTCAGCCTCCCGAGTAGCTGGGACTACAGGCATGCGCCACCATGCCCGGCTAATTTTATATATATATATCAGTTGGCCAATTAATTTCTTTCTATTTATAGTAGAGACGGGGTCTCGCTCTTGCTCAGGCTGGTTTTGAACTCCTGACCTTGAGCAATCCGCCCGCCTCGGCCTCCCAAGAGCTAGGATTACAGGCGTGAGCCACCGCGCCCGGCCTGTTTTCTTAATTTTATTTTCAGACTGGTCATTACTAGTATATAGAAATAAACCAATCTTTGTGTATTAATCTTGTATCCTGCAAACTTGCTAGATTCTTTTATTAATTCTAACAGTTTTTTTGTTTATCCCTTCTCCTTAAGTCTTAACGTTTAAGTTGAAATTATTTTTCAGGTCAGAAAGCAACACTGAATGCTGAAGAAATGGCTGGCTTCTACAAGGAATTTTTAAGTAAAAATTTTCGGAAGCACATGTATTATAACAAGTAAGTGCTTTACTTCTTTCCTAAAAATATGACTATCACATTGAGATTAGGCAGGATTATTTTCTTACCTAATATTTCAAGATATTCATGTTTATATCAGAGGTAGAAGTTGCACGAGTTTGTCAACTGCATTTTTGCACCTTGAAATAAAATTGGCAGCTGTAGGTTATTTGCGTGGCAACCCCACAGCAGTTCTCAGCCCTGGTGCTTGGGGAGTGGGCTCTGCACACTTCTGCTTCGTGTTCTTCCTGTGAGGAGCCACCGTCGGGGGCAGGAAAAGCACAGGTTGAGTTGAGGCATCTTCTGGCTGAAAGCAAGGAGGCCGAGTGAGGCCAGCAGAGATCATGGGCATCGTGTGAGATGGCACAGGACCTACTTGAAAGAACTCCCAATGGCCAAAGGTCTCACAAAGAAAAGTGACCATCCACGATTGAGCCAAAGACGGGATGAATCTGGGCAGAGGTCGTGAGATTGTCTTAGCTAAAGATGGGATTATGGGATTAATCAGAACCTTTATTTTTTATTTTTATTTTTTAAAACACCAATTATTGTTGTTAATCAGAACTTTTAGGCCAGGCGCGGTGGCTCACACCTGTAATCCTAGCACTCTGGGAGGCCAAGGCAGGCGGATCGTTTGAGCTCAGGAGTTCGAAACCAACCTGAGCACGAGTGAGACCCTGTCTTTACTATAAATAGAAAGAAATTGATTGGCCAACTGATATATATAAAAAAAATTAGCCTGGCATGGTGGCACATGCCTGTAGTCCCAGCTACTTGGGAGGCTGAGGCAGGAGGATCGCTTGAGCCCAGGAGTTTGAGGTTGCTGTGAGCTAGGCTAATGCCACGACACTCACTCTAGCCTGGGCAACAAAGTGAGACTCTGTTTCAAACAAACAAACAAAAAAATCAGAACCTTTAAAAGCTCTGTACTTCTCAGAAATAGGACGTTGGTACTTTGACACGGGAGTCTGCTAGCTTCCTCATTCGCTGGCAAATTAATAAACTCCTCTTTCCTTCTCAAAACAAAAAAAATAATGTGACCACAGTGGATTCAAAAGATAGCAACTTTTATTTTTATTTTTTTTTAGACATAGGGTCTTGCCCTGTCTCCCAGGCTAGAGTGCAGTGGTGCAGTCACAGCACTGCAGCCCTGAACGGCTGGGCTCAAGCCAGCCTCCTTCCTCGGACTCCCAAAGTGCTAGGGTTGTAGGCAGGAGCCACTACACCCAGCCAAAAAGATAACAAATTTTGAAAAACAGTATCAACTGTACAAACATCTTTGCAGTCATGATGATATTGAAAAAAGCCTCTCTCTGGATATGGTGAGGCTGTCAGCTCATCATTTTGAGAATTGATAAATGAAAAGGATCCAAAGAACATGCAGCTTTCATGCTTTTGCTGTATCAAGGCATCCAAACGAAGGAACATCCTTCTTAGTAGAAGAGACACAGCTGACGCGGAGCGGTAGGATTAGCAAATTAGCATTTTCCTAATGAGATAACAGCCATCCATCGCTGCTAGAACCACTGGCCAAGAAGGCTGATGGGGACTTCTGGCGGGCAGGTTGGGCTGACACACCCTGCCCTGCCTCTCCACACCGCACAGGGGCAGCCTCTGTGTGACTCGGGGGTGCTTGTGCATCCCCTGCGAGGTGTCCTTGCAGAAAATGGAACGGAACCGCAGGCCTCCAAATCCAACGAGTTTACGGGAAAGGGGAAAGGGGGCTGGGGTGGGGCTGGGGTGGGGTGGTCACAGAAGACCATGTTGGAATGTTTTAGCCTGAAGATACAGTCAGCCTAACTCAGAATGTTGGAAATTTTACAAATTTGAAATTAGTTGGAAATTCTATCTAGTTTCTTCAACAAATAACTAGAATAAGCAAAAAATAAAATAGTGGGGAGGGGGTAGACTAAGAGAGACTTTTTTGGCTCTGGATTCAGGCAAACCATCTGTGAAAAAGTATTTTGGACAGATGGAAGAAATTGAATGGTGGTTGTTGATTAATTGATATCAATAAATTATATTCCGTTTATCGGACACCACAATGGGATAGTGGTTATGTGTTTTTAAAAAGGGCATTAACTGGTCACAGATACATAATGACCTGTATTGACAGGTGAGATGACAGGAGGCGATGTTTGAGATTTGCCTTCAAGTGTAACAGTGGCAGAGCCAGGTGGGCAGGTACGGCAAGACGGTGAATGTCCATAGTGGGCGAGGCCGGGTGAGCTCGAGGCTGGCAGTCTGACCTAAAGATCAGCCCTGCCACATCTGTGTCCAAGGCTTCACCTGTCCTCCGAGCTAGTTCGGCCATTCCGTCAGGTGAGCGTCGATGACACTTCCTGGCCCTTAGGACGTGTCTGCACCATGCCCGGGCCCCGGCAGGCTCGGCGCTCACGGAGCGGCACGCAGGGTGGAGAGGGCCAGCCTCCCGGGCCACAGAGGAGCCCACCTTCCTGTGCTGCCCGCTGTCCCTACGCAAACAGCAAGTGCGCAGTCTGCCTTTCCACCCGCGCCGTCAGATCAGGTCATCTGGTTAGGGAAGTGGAATCGGGCTTTTCCTCAGTGACATGGATTCTAATCCCAGTAGGGTACCAGGTTTCTTTCCCCGGAAGCCCTTCTTCCTCACTTAGTGCACCGCCACTCTCGGGGCTGGAAACGCAAAGACCATGCCCGCGTGCAGAGGGCTTTCTGGCCAGCCACGTGTCTACCCTCTGTTCTCACTGCTTTTGAGCCCTTGATTGTTCTCCCTTCTGTGCTGAGGCTCAGTACATCTCGCGAGTGCAGGGGCACGGAAGTGCGCCTTCACGCATCAGCTCTGCGCGCTGGGCCGCAGCGGGACTCGCTGGCAGCTCAGCCTCCGGGGGCTTAGCACTGAGAGTCTGGAATGTGCGCGCCCCTTGGAAACCTTCCCAGCGCTGCCTGTTCAGCGTGGAACTGCCAACAATGGGGTGAATGCACAAGTTTTGGCATGTCCCGTAGACTAGCTCACCCGGAGCCAGCCCCTGGCTGTGTGCAAGCTCCATGGGGATGTTTGCATGGGAACTTCTGGAATTATCTCCTCAGGGACACAAATTACATAAAAGCTCAGATCATCCAGAAAAAGAGGAGATGGACCTTTATGATGTGGGCACTTGTGATGGATTAGCTTCTCACAGTGGAGAACTTTTGTCATGTGCTTTTCATGCAAATGAGGTGCCAAAGCCAGTGGGCTCCCCACACAGCCTGCTTTGCTAATGGTCTGATGGTCTCCCCATGGAGCCACAGTTGCAGGAAGAAGGCAGGGAGGTCTCCTGGGGCTCTTTTGGAGTCTTTCAGCAAAAAGCAAAGGAGCATTGATTGCAGCGGCCTCCAGGAATGGAGGAGGTGGGGGAGGGCGTGCCGGGCGGTGAGCCTCCCTCTCCCCTCCTTTACGGCTGGCTTTAGTGTGGGCAGGAAGGGGAGGGCGGTGAGGGGTCAGGACCGGTCAGATGGGCTTGCCCCGTGCTGGGAGCCGCCTGTGGGCGTGGGCGCAGGCCCAGGCCCAGTCCCTCGGCTGTGTCACCTGTGCTGCCCCCTTTCTCTACAGAGAGTGGTACAGGCGGAACTTTGCCATCACCTTCTTCATGGGAAAAGTGGCCCTGGAGAGGATCTGGAACAAGCTGAGACCGAAACAAAAGAAGTCGAGCAGCTAAGAGTCCGCTGTGACCATGGCGCCCAGCGTCCAGGTTTCCAGAGACGCGAGTGGTCACAGGAGCTCATCGTGCAAGGGCTCTGAAAACCGTCGGCGGTCCCAGGACGTCCCCTGGCCTGCGTTTCAGGGCAGGCGGGCCGGGAGAACGGGGGTCGTGGCTCCCTCCTGACTGTGGCTTCCACGCTGGCTCCTCGTCACGCACGTGACACGCATCACGCATGCGATGTTAAATAAAGCCCAAGCACTGTGTGCCGTTTTCTGTGTTTTGAGTTATACCAATGAGACTAGAATACACAAATATTAATAAAGTTTCACTTGGAAAAAACATTAGTCCGATGACGGGAAAGGTTTCGCAGCTGGCGGTGGTGTCAGCAGTGCCTCACCGTGTGCAGGTGGCTGTGGATTTGGGGGCGTCACAGGCTGTGCCCCAGATGAGAGTGGTCGTGCCGACGCCGGCGCAGACACAGAGCAAAGCAGCTCTACGTCCGAGAGCTCTCCAGTGACTCGAGGCAGAGCCTTAGTTTCCCGTGTTTCCCCAAGCAGCCTGCTACCTGGATCGTGGCCCTCTTCTTTTTAAATACTTTAAAAATCGGGCCGGGCGTGGTGGCTCACGCCTGTAATCCTAGCACTCTGGGAGGCTGAGGTGGGCAGATCGCTCAAGGTCAGGAGTTCGAAACCAGCCTGAGCAAGAGCGAGACCCTGTCTCTACTAAAAATAGAAACAAATTAATTGGCCAACTAAAAATATATAGAAAAAATTAGCCAGGTATGGTGGCAAATTCCTGTAGTCCCAGCTACTTGGGAGGCTGAGGCAGGAGGATCGCCTGAGCCCAGGAGTTTGAGGTTGCTGTGAGCTAGGCTGACACCACGGCACTCTAGCCCCGGCAATAGAGTGAGACTCTGTCTCAAAAAAAAAAAAGGAAAGTGTCGGAGGAGCAGTGACCCACAGAGTCCTGGCTGGGAAGTGAAGTGGGAGCGGTGGGTGTCCCAACACCCCTCAGCGAGGTGCGGGTAACCGGCAGTGCCCCAAACCCTCAGCGGGCATCTGCCACTCCTCTAGCCCGTGTGCTCCTGCAAGCGTCCTGCTGGACGTAAATTCCGTGGAAAGCAGGCACCAGGGATTGGCAGAATATTTTTAGCAACTGAAGACCTAAGTGTAGTTGAAATGTCAGTAACACATATGCTGTCCAGGCTGGGCGCGGTGGCTCACACCTGTAATCCCAGCACTCTGGGAGCGCGAGGTGGGAGGATCACTTGAGCTCAGGAGTTTGAGACCAGCTTGAGCAAGAGTGAGACCCCATCTCTACTAAAAATAGAAAAATTAGCCGGGCATGGTGGCGGATACCTGTAGTCCCTGCTGCTGGGGAGGCTGAGATGGGAGGATCGCTTGAGCCCAGGAGTTGGAGGTTGCTGTGAGCTCAGCTGACTCCATGGTATTCTAGCCTGGGCAACAGAGTGAGACTCTGTCTCAAAAAAAAAAAAAAATACATATATATATATATGTGTGTGTGTGTACACATACATATATATGTTGTCATTTTGCATTAGTTTTAATGCAGAATGTTTAATGGCAAAGAGTTTAGCCTGATTCTTGGTGTTAACTTTCTAAATAGATTCTTTTTTGTTTTTTTGTTTGTTTGGTTTTTTTTGAGACAGAGTCTCACTTTGTTTCCTGGGCTACAGTGCTGTGGCATCAGCCTAGCTCACAGCAACCTTAAAACTCCTGGGCTCAAGCAATCCTGCCTCAGCCTCCGGAGTAGCTGGGACTACAGGCATGGGCCACTGTGTCTGGCTAATTTTTCTATATATTTTTAGTTGTCCAGCTAATTTCTTTCTAATTTTAATAGAGAACAGGTCTCGCTCTTGCTCAGACTGGTCTTGAACTCCTGACCTTGAGCGATCCGCCCGCTTCGGCCTCCCAAAGTGCTAGGATTACAGGCGTGAGCCACCTCGCCTAGCCTCTAAATAAATTCTTAACTGCTCTAAGCAAATTAATGAGTAACGTCAAGCTGTTTTCTTGTTTTGGATTCTTTAACATTTAAGATTAAATGATTGTGATAAATGTTACTTTTGGTCACAAATAATGCAGATAAATTGTAATTAAAGTTTATTTTGACCCTAAAATTTGTATGCTAAGTTTAATAAGATGATTGTCACAGCCATATTCAAATAAAGTATTTCTGTGGACTTTTTAATTTTTGCAAAATAAAGTTTATCCCAGTGATGTATTTTATACCACTTTTCCCACAAAATGCATGTTCGATTAAATTCCATGTATTTTTAATGCTTCTGTCTTCTGAATTAAAAAGCAAAATAAAGTTGAGCCTCTTTTCTGCTCTTTGTGTTGGGTGGTATTTATAGATATTGGGGTTTTTTTTGTTTTGTGGAGACAGGGTCCTGCTCTGTCACCTGGGTTGGAGTGCAGTGGCGTCAGCCTAGCTCACAGCAACCTCAAACTCTTGGGCTCAAGCGATCCTCCTGCCTCAGCCTCCCAAAGGCTAGGATTGCAGTTGTGAGCTACTGCATCTGGCCTACATTGACTTTTTTTTTTTAACTTCAAAATATTAATTAAGGGGGTACATGTGGGGTTTTTTCCTATAAGAATATCTTGTATAATGCTTAAGTCGGGGCTTTTAGTGTGCCCATCACCAGAATGTGTTCATTGTACCCAACAGGTAAGTTTTTATCCCACACCCACCCTCCTGACATTGATTTTTTAGATGTTCATATTCACCCAAAAAAAGGAACTGAATGGCACGTGGCTGTTAAGTACAGGGGGACCCTCCGGAGCTGGCCCAGGTCAGTGACAGAAGGGACCTCATCTTTCTTTGTGTTCATTGAGTGCTAACAATGTGTAGGAGGGCTGTCTGCCTCCAGGCCTGGGCGTTCTGGCTGTAATAACGCCCCTCTGCCCCCTTTGCGGGGGCTGGCAGGGTTGGAGGTGGCACATCTGGTGCTGTGGGTGGGCACGTCACCAGCTCTCCACAAATGCTGGCACTGTGGGAGCCGATGGTAAGGTCTTCCAGGAAGACTTCTGCAGCAGTGGGAGGCTGGCCCGCAGGTCACCCTGTTGTGATCCAGGAGTGCTGGTGGCCACGAGAGAACCTTCAGGAGTTACCTGTGGGGGACAGAGGGTCTCCTGGTCCCGGTTTGCAAGGAAGCCTGGTACTCAGCTCAGAGTGTGTTAATCCTTTGCCCCCCCTCTCCTGACTGGCCCCTCAGGCTGTGTCTGCTGCTGGGAAAGTGGCCGGTTCCTTTATACCCCAGCTTTCTAGAAGCTTCTGCCCCCCAGGAGGGTAGAGAGCCACAGGGAGTCCTTTATTGTGTAAATTTGCAATGACTATTTTAGACTTGTGATTATGTGGGAAATTATAGGACAATACTTTCTGTTTGCTAATTTTTTTTTTTTTGCTACCAGCATTGCTTTTTTTAGTTTCTTAAAAACAGAAACTTAAAAATAGCCATATTCTGCTGACATTCTTTTTTTTTTCTTTTGAGACAGAGTCTCACTTTGTTGCCTGGGCTAGACTGCCGTGGCATCAGCCTGGCTCACAGCAACCTCAAACTCCAGGGCTCAAGAGACCCTTCGGCCTCAGCCTCCTGAGTAGCTGGCATGTGCCACCATGCCCGGCTAATTTTTTCTATATATTTTTAGTTGGCCAATTAATTTCTTTTTATCTATTTTTTTTAGTAGAGATGGGGTCTTGCTCTTGCTCAGGCTGGTTTCGGACTCCTGACCTTGAGCAATCCTCCCACCTCAGCCTCCCAGAGTGCTAGGATTACAGGCCTCTACTGACATTTTTTAATTTAAAATTTTAACAATGGCTAGATGCGGTGGCTCACGCCTGTAATCCTAGCATTCTGGGAGGCCAAGGTGGGAGGATTGCTTGAGCTCAGGAGTTCAAGACCAGCCTGAGCAAGAGCGAGACCCCGTATCTACTATAAATAGAAAAAAATTAACCAAACAACTAAAAATAGAAAAAAAATTAGCTGGGCATGGTAGTATGTGCCTGTAGTCCCAGCTACCCAGGAGGCTGAGGCAGGAGGATCACTTGAGCCCAGGAGTATGAGGTTGCTGTGAGCTAGGCTGACGCCATGGCACTGTAGCCTAGGCAAGAGAGTGAGACTCTGTCTCAAAAACAAAACAAAAACATAAAAATTTAACAATGCCTCTGTTAGCACAGGAAGGAGTAGACTACAAAGGCACGGCCTTTCTTTTTAAGTAGAGAATTAATTTTCCCAGAGGGAGAGCTGAGGGACCTGGAGAGTTTGGGGTTCGGGCACCACTAGTGCCTTTTCCTCCTTTGCAGCCCACTGGGTTTGGATTGACGAAGTCTTGGTAGACTCCCTTTCAGACTCGCAAGCCTGTAGCATTGCTTATTTTAAGGTGATTGGTTTTAACACATATGCCTTAGAACACCGTGCTGGGGTGCCTTCATTTCTTTCCAGAGTCTTTGCATCGTGTTGCACTTGTTTGGGGACTGTCAGCGGGCGGTCCCCAGTCCAGGGTGGATGCAGTTCTCCCCAGGACGGCCCTCGCGCTCCCACCCATCTGGCCTGTTGATCGGTTGTACCGGCTTCTCCCTTGACTGCAGGGTGCGGGCATTTGAAGGGAGGAGGAGAGTGGGAATAGTTAAAAACCTGTCAACATTCATTCACCCGGCAAAGGAGGAATGCTGCTCTGTGCTGGGCAGTAATCTATCGCTGCTCCCCCTGAAGCGCTCAGAGACCTGCAGGGTTTAAGGTCGAAGAAAAAAATAGTCCCATAAGGAAGACCGCACCAGACTATCTTACAGAATCAACCCATTTGATTTTCATGTTTACATTCCCAGTTAATCATAGGTTTTGGCCGGGCGCGGTGGCTCACACCTGTAATCCTAGCACTCTGGGAGGCCGAGGCAGGCGGATTGCTCAAGGTCAGGAGTTCGAAACCACCCTGAGCAAGAGCGAGACCCCGTCTCTACTATAAATATAAACAAATTAATTGGCCAACTAATATATATACAAAAAATCAGCCGGGCATGGTGGCGCGTGCCTGTAGCCCCACCTACTCGGGAGGCTGAGGCAGTAGGATTGCTTGAGCCCAGGAGTTTGA